TGGTAGTGGTACTGGTAGCGGTAGTGGTAGCGGAAGTGGTAGTGTTAGTGGGAGTGGCAGTGGTAGTGGTAGTGGTAGTGATGGTAGTGGTAGTAGTAGTAGTAGTAGTAGTTGTTGTTGTAGTAGCAGTGCAAGTGCTAGTACTTTTGCTGTTGTGACGACGATTGCTACCATGATTTCATCGTCATCATGTTCATCATCATCGTTTGTAGTTTTTGAAACAATTTTATGCAAAGGTCAGTTTGTGCTTCTTACCAGGATCATTTTCAAGAAGATCGCAGAGAAGGTTGGCCTGGACCGAGTGGCGGGCCCAGGTTTCGAGTGCATGTTTCCAAGCTGCATGCAGATTTTTGGGGCATCGGGTGTGAGGCTGAGTTAGCTCTCATTCAGAGTTCTGGCGCCATGTGAGTTGAAGCCGAGGCAGCCAAGGGATGCTGCTTGTCAGGTTTGCGATTTCGTTTCTTTTAACCGTGCATGTCTTTGATTGCTCAGTTTATATTTGCATCAAGGCCATATGAACCGACAGCATGGGCTTTTGCTTTCCACAGCACTACACCCGAAACCCGAGAAGTGCAAAAGACACAAGTCGAAGACTTGAGGACGTCTTAAACCCAGAGTAGCATCATCGTCATATTCTGCAGCAACAACTACATGGGAATACGGACACATTGAAGATGGAGTCAGAAAATATGGATAAAGGATGATAAAGGCATGTAGGGAGGGAGGCTGAGGGAGGGAGGGAGGGAGGGAGTAAGTAGATCAACCTCACAAATGCGAGACCCCAGCCCTGGAACCGTGTAAACCCAACCTTGAGCCCTCATACTGTTTGCAGCCGTCCTACACCTCACTTACAGTGCTGGGTGCATGACAAAGCAGTCGGTCAGCCCAGGGCTCAATGCCTGTTTGACACGCGCTGTCCGAGGGCTGCACGCTTCACGGTTTGTTGTTGGCTGTTGTCGTAGCCCATTAGCCGCGAAATCTGCCCTGAACCCCATTCAGAATCGTACCCACGTGGCTGCGATAAGGTCCGCCTCATCGTCACCGGGAGCGCACCCATTGCTGACAACGTCTTGGACTTTATCCGAATTGCTGGGGCCTTCGTTGTCGATTCTACACTTTCAGCCCCCCAGCCTACGAAGGCCGATTAGCCTTGCTCATGGTTGATGAAGTTTTAGCTCCCAAGCGTGATTGGGAAAGTCGGATCTTACGTCTGCTGCATAGACGAAGAGCCGTTCCAAAGCATCGGCTGCAGGTTTTCTGCTGCCCCGTGAGCCCGGCATGCTGAGCAGTCAAGATCAGAAGATGTCCTCTCAAGCTGGGTTCCTTTTGCTGTACCCGCTGTGACTGTAAATTGCTGTTATAATACTAGACACTACAATCACTACAAGCAATTGCAGAATACGGATGCAGCAGGGGCAAGTGTTAATCTTCACCACTGTTGAAACTCGAATTTTCGTCTGTCACACGACCAAGCACCATCAGCATCATCACCACTTACTATCACCGCCATCACTGCCATCTTCACATCACATCCACCATCCTCGCGCCCATCCAAAAAAATGTCGTCCACCCACAGCCATTTGCAGGATCTTCATCTCCATCAGAAATACACAGTTTATGAGCGAAATATTTTTCGGGGAGTTTTGGTGACGGTGGTAGGCTTCGCCTCCGCCAGACGAAAAAGCTGGAACTTCTCAAAGTTTACACAACAATTAACCACAAGCACAGCTCAACAAATACGATAAAAAATGAATCCAAACAAAGAAGTCGCAGGAGTATATCCATTTATTTTATCTTCCAAATTAATACATGGCAGATATCAAGGATTACCACTTAATTATTCAAGACATAGACAACAAAACTAAAAAGAACAAAGTTTTCATAGAACCAAGACAACCCCAAACTGTAACAGTTCTCGCTTTCTCACGATTTATCTGCTTCCGCTGACCCCTGAAAGGCCACAAGACCCCAGGATAGGATGACGACGCTGGAACCCGACAGCCGCGCGATCTTGCACTCCTGCGACGGTTGAGAGTGCGAGCACGAGCTGCCGCCAAAATCAACAGAGGCGGGCATGTTTTGTTGCAGACTGGCGAGAAAATCCAGCAGACCAGCAAATAAGCTGCAGAGCCAAACAACCGGGAATTCTTGTTGCGCTTTCAAGGGACGGTAGAGGAGGTAAGGAGAAGTTTGAGGGGTGCGGGCGCGGGCGTCAGAGCAAAGTAAACGGTTTGGAGGAAGAGAGTGGGAAATCGTCGGGCGGTTGGAAGAAGCGAGTGGCAAAGCCGGTTGGCAGATTCATGTTAAGCTCAAAGGAAGGCATGAATGCCCTTTGTGGGCGGATGCTTCCTGTAGCTCACGATTCTCACAAGTGGATGCAGAAAATACCTGCAGCCTTATCTGCACAGTACCGACCCTTAGTTCCGAACGCTGTGTTTTAAATTTTTGAATGCTTCCAGCCAGGTCTTGGAAGGTTACGGCCTTTCAGAGACGGCTGCAGGAGGCCACGGCTGCGTGTCACTAGAGTTTCGGACTGAAGACTTCCGCACTAGGTACTACCTTTGTCATTGGAGTGGGTTAACAAGTCAGATCTCAATGCAGTCTACATGATTCGCGAGTCTAAGTGGGAGGCAATGTGGTGGCGAGAGCCTTCCTTTGTTTGCCATCGTCGAATCTTCTAGTCCGTGCTGCCAAGATCAAGTTCTCCATGTGAGCCAGATAATGTCCATGCTTCACACAGCTTGCAGAAACCCGCTGTGCATTTGAAGAATAGGCTTCAAGCCAGGCACCATTACGGCCGACCAAGACATGACACCGGGTACAGTTGGCGCCGTCACTGCCTGCAACGAGATTCGGTTGAAGGACTGGCTATTGTAAGCCTAGGGTTTGAGGCCTATGGCTCAGATAGTCTATCTTTCATGATGAATTCAGAACGGTTCTACTCCTCAGGATGAAGATTCGATCTCTGAACGACACGGCAGCTTCCAGGGCCTCATGATAAGGAAAACAAACAGGTGTCCCGATGCGGGCATCTCTATACTGCTGCTGCTACTGCCACTGCTACTACGACGACGACGACTCTCACTACTGCTTCTGCTGCTGCCTCTGGTTCTGCTACGACGAGCATGAAGCTCTACTTCGCTCTGTCGGGCTGTCGGGTGATAGTTTGGGTTGAATGGATGTATGTGGGCATCTGTAGAGGACGTGCCGGACATGGGTCTGCGGCCGAGCTGGTGCCGATCTGGTTTATAACTTGTTTCAGGTCCTGTGGTTTACTGGTGGCGGCGGAGAACAGAGGGCTTAGAATAGAGAGGCCGACTTTGCAAGGATGGGTTGGTCCGGAGAGGCTGTATCAGCACTGGCGGACGGAGAGACCAAGGCCGAAACTTGTCAAACTTCAGCTCTTACAACGCACACCCAACTCTGAGCTCTCGCGGTTTCCCACAGAGCCGCTCGGAACGAAGCCCCATGTTGCGATGCTTGCATCAAGGAGTTATTATGGCGACGTTTTCTTTCTGTTCATGACGCCATGACTGAGCCAACTCTGAAGTCTGCACTTCTGCAGTTCTTTCGAACTCAGCACAGAAGGAGCCGAGCTCGAAAATTGGCTAGATGTTCTTGGCTTTACTTACCCCCGAGGCTATCTCCGCACAGACCAGGTGCGCCCCTGACGCTAGCTGAGTTGATTCCGAGTGCGCTCCAGGGCTTATTGACCACAGACAGCCAAACTCTGAACCCCTGGACCAAGTACCCTACGCATGAGCACAACACAAATCTTGAAAGGTGCACAAGATTGGTTCCAAGACCATCCCATGTCCGGATCCTGGCAACCTGGGGCTTGTCTGTGGGCCATCGGCTGGCAGTTCAATCTGGTGTTTCGACATCACTAGACTGGACACGGTTTTGCTTTTGACTCTGATTTCGACGTGAACATGCTTCATTTCAAGCTGATGTGACGTCACAATACAGACACTCGCCTGCAGCAAACTCTTGCCGCGTCCCTGACTGACCCGACAGTTCGCTCGCTTTGCAAGAGTTGCCGCTGAAAGCCAACCGCGACATGCTCGACGATTCGTCAGTTTGATTATGTTTCCTATGCATGAATGTAGACTTCTCGGTGTCACTCTATGTTACGAATTGCCTCAGTTCGTGCGCAGGGCGTGGCGTGTGTTTTCCCTCAACGCAGTCTTCCGCTCCATAGGGTCGACCCCTGCAATGCCTGACGCCTGAGCTGGACTTCAGGCCCCTGGATAACTTGCCACTGTTCGGACATTGTCGAGGCTGTGGTCGTGGAGAGATCTGCCTGAAGGGCCTCAACATCTTCCAAGGCTAGATTCCGGCCTTCGCAAACTTGTTTTCCTGCAGACTGGTTGGTTGCGGCGCATTCAGAAATACGGACATCTGCGATGGTAGCAGCCGCATCATCATCGTGATCATTGCTATCATCATCTCATTGACGAAGTCCGCTCCATCATACCGATCATTTGCGAAACCATCCTCAAGAATAGGGTCGTTGATGTGCCGCATATGTCCTTTTTCGGCTTTACCGCCGTGCTTTGTGGCAGATATCCCCAGACTGCAGCAGTCTGTGTGACATGCAGGACGACCCGGTTCGGTCAGCCATGATGTGCAAGTCACGCAGGGTCACTGCGCAAGTGATGGCTGCTATGGTTTGCAAAGGAGGAGTGATGCCCATACCCCGTCCTGAAAAACTCGAGATGTCACCGATTCTGACGCCAAATAAGTTAGATCTTTGCAAGACCCTTTGACTCAGTGTGGTCGTGCTTCAACGGGAGGCTACTACAAGATGCCCGACAAGACTGCAGAGGCTCTCCGAGCTCTAACAACACTCTGTTTCAGCAACGTAACGTACCTGGCAGCAAATCAAGCGTTCCTTCTGATTTGTTCACGCCTACCTTGTCGAAGTCGAGCAGCTGCCATAATCACTATCAAGCTCGCGCCCATGGCATGCTCAGTAGCACTGGTACTGCTCAGGATTTCTAGCCAGATTCGTCGTCATGATCACGTGAGCTAGCTCTTCAGGAGCTTGCGGGAGTGGTCGGTGAGTAAGAAATGAGGGGATCACATTCTACAGCCTTCAGATCTGATGAAGCGGGACTTCAAGGCACTTAGCAGCTTTAGGGAGAAGATGTTCATGTTGGGTCCAGGGTTTTTTTTTGCTTTGGTGTGGCTCCTGCTTTGGTGTGGTTTGCTGGCTTCTTGGCTTTTTGGCTCCTTGGCTTTTCGGCTTTTGGCCGAGAATTGCTGTATCTCGCTGGTGCCGCATCTGCTGATGCGGCTGCTGGCGACCCGTGCCATGAAGCCCTAAACCAGCCTAAACCCGAAAAGTTCACGTGATTATGTGACCTTACGCGACGTCTACTGTGAGACTGAAAGCACATGAACATGAAGCCGAGGCTTTGAAGCCTTGAATGGTGTTCCAAACCTAAAATTTTCACCGTAGGTGAAACAAGAAACCACCCTTCAAAAGCCTAGCCCTAAAGCCAAATCGGGAACTGGTCATTGTCTTTCTGTTTGCAAGGCATTGCCCACAGCCGTTCGGCTATAGTTGTCCACCACCACCTCCCTCCCAACGCAGCCCGCCCCCGGCTGATGGAACAGCACTCCCAGAACATGAACCTGGAAGTGAGATGTTCATTGAGTCTTGCGACATGATTACTACGTGTTTAAGATATGTAGTCAATCGGACTCGCCACATGAGGGCGCGTGTCTAAGATATATTCATGGTGAGCCAGAATCGCCACTTGAGGCGGGGTGTTTAAGAGATATGGTGAACCGCTATCGCCAAAAGAGGGGGGCGTGTGGAACCGGAACCGCCAAGTGAGGGGACGTGTTAAGAGATATGATGAGCCGGTGCAGCCGATATCGCCAAATGAGGGGGCATGTTTAAGTTATAGGACGAACCGGAATCGCCAAATGAGGGGGCGCGTTTAAGATATGTGATGAACCTTTATCCCCAAATGAGGGGGAGCTGTTTAAGATATATGATGAAGCGTTGTCGCCCACTGCGTTGGCGAGTTCAACATAAGTGATGAGCCGGAATCACCAAATAAGGGGCCTGCGTGTTTAAGATATGTGGTGAACCGGACTCGACACATGAGGGCGCGTGTCTGAGACATATGGTGAGCCGGAGTCGCCAAATGAGGGGTATGTTCAGCATGTATGATGAACCGGAATCGCCGAATGAGGGGGCATGTTCAAGATATTTAATGTACCGGGGTCACCGAATAAGGGAGCGGCGTGATTAAGATATATGATGAACTGTTGTCGCCAAATGTGGCATGTTTAAGATATGCGGTGATCCGGAATCGCCAAATGAGGGGTGTGCGAGATACCTCAAGTTCGGAATCGCCAAATGAGGGGGCGCGCTTAAGATATATGATGAACCGTTATCGCCAAATGAGGGGGAGCTGTTTAAGATATATGATGAAGCGTTGTCGCCCAATGCGTTGGCGAGTTCAACATAAGTGATGAGCCGGAATCACCAAATAAGGGGCCTGCGTGTTTGATATGTGATGCACCGTTATCGCCAAATGAGGGGGCGTGTTTAACATATGTGATGAACCGTTATCGCCAAATGAGAGGGCGTGGTCAACATAAGTGATGAGCCGGAATCGATGCATGGTGAACCGATATCGCCAAATGAGGAGGCGTGTTTAAGCTATATTATATGATGAACCGGAAACGAGGGGGGGCATGTTTAATGTATATGATGAACAGGAACCGCCAAATGTGGTATGTTTAAGATGTATGGTCCCCACATGAGGGGGCTTATTTAAGAGATAGGGTGAGCCGTTATCGCCAAATGAGGGGACGTGTTCAAGAGATATGATGAACCGGAACCACCAAATAAGGGGGCGGCATGATTAAGACATATGATGAACCGTTATCGCCAAATGAGGGGGCGTGTTTAACATGTATGATGAACCGACATCGCCAAAGGAGGAAGCGTGTTTGAGACATACGATGAACCGGAATCGCCAAATGAGGGGGCATGTTTAGGATATATGATAATGAGGGGGCGTGTGTCACGTATATGCTGAACAGAATCGTCAAACGAGGCCGGGTGTTCGAGAGTGATGAACCGCCAGTCCCCTTGGCAAATTGGGGGGGGGGGGGCTGTCTTAAGCCCTGTGAAGGTGCCCTAGTTGCAATGCCCCAATGCCCGTCCTAGAGGCCCAACTCTTCCGCGTTCTTTTTGTTCCGCGCAAGCTTGCTTTGAAGAACATCGTGCCATCGCAATTGGCAAAGGCCACAGTCCTCGCTCCATCCCCTCGCCGCCTGTTCTACCGCGGCTTCTTGCACCAACTAATGGCCACAGTCGTGATTTTGCGCAAAATGGTAGCATCTGCACTAACCTGTTACGAAAAGCTCTGCAAAATGTTATGCCTGAACTCAGGAACTCTTTTGTCGGCTGCGAAGCTGCCAAAAAGAGAAGAGGTGTGTGAACGTGTCGAATGAAAGCCGTCCACTGCGCTGCAAGGTCTGCAGGACCCATGAAAGCAAACCGTGGCCCTGTAGAAAGAAAAAAGGGTTGAGCATCCCTACAGGAAGTTCACCTGACCCCACAACTACACGTTAAGGACTTGCCAACTCACCCTTGCATGAGCGCTCCCGCGAGAATGTGCAGGGGAGGGGGGCGAGGGGGGAGGGGGCCACACCAAAGCAAGAGCTGCACCAAAACAAAAAAAACATCCTCCGCCATTCATGTTCAAGGCGTTCCGGAAGTAAGTTGTATGTGGCAGGGTGGGGACCCCCCTCCATTGCTGCTACTACTAGCCCTGGCCCTGGCACTCTAGCAGTACAACGAGGCGCGGAGCCCGAGGCTGCTACCGCTCCTGTTGCTCCCCCACAGCACTCAAAAGCAGCCGCGTGTGCCCTCGCCCCTCAGCCTTCGGCCCGCGGGAATTTGCGGCCCCTTCTTAAGTCTCCTTGCACTTGAGGCGATCGATGCAGATGGCTGGTTCCATTCTGGGGACATAGGGCAGCACACTTACTTTCTGAGTTGCTGTTCTCCTTGCCGTGCTTGCGGCTCTGGAGCTGACAAGCTGAGGATGTGGACACCTGACGGGAGGCTCAAGATTATCGATAGAAAGAAGAACATCTTCAAGCTTGCCCAAGGCTCCCGAATGCATGGGTGTGCAATATACAATATCTACTGAATATGTCGAAAGTGTAGTCATACACCGTGTCCAGAGGTACCAGGGGTCAGATGTTGAGACCCCGGGGCCACAAGTACGAACGGCAGTGCGAGATGGATCCAGTGGACAGGTATCACAAGGCTTAACTTCTTGAGCGCATCAGGGCAGACTTGCGCCTTTGCTAGGAGTCTTCTGCATTTCATCCGAGAAAAACTGCATGTCACAGCGCTTTCTCACTTTGTTAATCTGGTTGCGCTCTGCCCGTGGCCATGACATGACCGCTTGAAGGCTTGTGAGTCGTCACAAGTTGATTGAGAACCAACGTCGGAAGTGAGTAAAGTCACAGCGGCTCAGAACATCCCCGGCAGCCAAGCGGCCTATCTTGCCATCTGATCGGTGCATGTTGTGCAATGCTTCAGCTATCCCAGATCGCCTGTTTGACTGCAGGCGAGTACGTGGCACCAGAAAAGCTGGAGAATCTCAATGTCCGGGACCCCGAACCATGTTTAGGCCGCGCATACCTTGTCTTCAGGATGCGAGTGTCTCTTCAGTTGATTTTTTTAATGCTCGCTGTGCAGCAGCATCTTAGGCCAAGTGTGGCTCTACTTGCGTGGGTACAATGGTGCAGTACAGCAGTCAAAATGCGAACGGTTGTATCACCCTGCAAGGCAGGAATGGTTTAGCAGTGGTTGTGGGCTAGCCGTCGCATCGAGGTAGGGCACAGGCACCAGGAATTGCAGCCATCTTGGTGCATCCTGCAGGAGAGAAGGCTGAAGCTTCACATAGAAGCATGCTGCTGGCTACTGTCTAGGAGTCTAGTGACATTCCTGGCTGAGAAATGTGCACGGAATATCACGCAGCAGATCAAGAGGCGTTAATGCGACAGCCTTTTGAGGTGCAAAGCAAGTTCATAGCCCAGAGCTTTGTCTACGGCGACAGTCTGAAGACTCAGTGGCCTTGGGCATGTGTTCCCGGCAGGCTGCTGTCAAATCCAAAGATTTACGCAAGGCCTACCAAAAGTCTGGAGCCTGCACAGCAGGCTACACCAACGCTGTTACACTTTTGCGACCGGACCGACATTAGAGCATATTCCGTTTGAGCCCGACGCAGGAAAAACAGCCATGACTCCGAGGTGGAAACAAGATCCCCAGAATAAAGTAAGCGTCGAGTGTCGCAGCCCATGCGCTTCATCCGTAAACCTCATCAGTCCGAAGCTTTCCGTCCTGTACATGCGGGACTGTTCTGGAGTCTCCAAGGCTGCAGTTTGAGGAATTGGAGATCATAAGGTTGGGATTCACTGCTTTTTCTGCCCAAGCTTGACTCAAACCTCTAACAGTTCAAAAAAGCCCATGATATTCAAGATCTTGGCATATCCTGGCCAGGCTCGTCTCCATCGTGGTCCCCGACCCTGAGGTCGCCAAGGCCTGGGCCAAAGAGTCTGGATCCCAGCTCTGCGGAGGTGCTTAAACAGCAAGATTAGGTTTCGATATGTATTTGCTTGTTAGGGGCCCTATTTACTCGCCTCTTCAATGTGCTGAGCATTTGGAGTTGGAGGATTGTTCCAAGTTGTTTTAATTGGAATCTCGAGTCGTTACTAAGTGTAGGCAGCTTGTGGAATGCATCAAAGTTTCGTTCGAGATGTTTAACTTTAGGGGTTTAAGTTTTAGGATTTTGGCGAAAACGGCCAAGATTCATGAGGTAATGCTTCACCCTTTACACGAGCCTCGAAAACACGGACCCACAAGTCTTCGGATGTGCTTTTACTGTGAGTTGTGCGATCCGTCCACTTGAAAAGTCGTAAAGTCATAAAGCCTATTGTAAGACTTGGCTCCAGTCAGGGCTTGCCTCCTCTTGGCTCGAACCCCGTGCTGCCTTCTCTGTTTCTCCGAGGGTGGGGCCGGAGTGATGTTCCTGAGACCCGACCACCCAAGCCTCAAAAGCCCTTCAACTCCAAAGCTTTAGAACACCGAACCTGAGAACCCAATTAAGGCCGGAAAAACACTGTACCAACATTCAACACCTTACACTGCATGCCATGAGCGGCTCCAAGCTTGAGCATTTCAGAAATTTCTGTTTGTTTCGAGCCTTCTGGACTATGGCCGCTGGCACCTGTGGTGTGAAAGAGGTCCCTGGATCGGGTGGGGTCTGAGTACCGCAGACACCTTCTCCCCACTTCGACATCTAAATTCTGGTTGGAACAAGGAAATTCAGTAAGCAGGTTGCAACGATCATTCTGCTTAAGTACTGATGGGGACACTTCAGGCTGCGAGGCGGTGGTTCACTCTCCTGAGTTTTGCTTATGGTTCTTGCGTCAAGGAGGAAGCTCACCGGCTCCTGGAATGGGCTCGGTCAAGGTGTCTGGCAGCAACGAAACAGGAATCCCCTATCGCAGCACCCGTAGCTCGACCGAAGAGGCCCAAGTGTTGTCGGCTACTGGGGAAAGCTCGCAGGTCGTTACAGGTCGGTTCGACAGTTGAGGGCTTAAAGTGAATCACCGTCTGTTTCTCTAGGCTTTGAAACCTCGATCTTGAGTCATACAGCGTAGCTTCGCAGTTCACTGGGAAAAGACCGCCAATTTCAAATTGGTAGCGGAGCTGGTACCCCTCGGTAGGACCAGCCGAGCGGGTCTGAGTATCATAAGATCGTGTGGCTTGGGCGAGCCTGATATCGACCCATTGCATTCCCCGTCTGCGTTCCTATATCCATTGATCATACCCGAAAATGACCGTAGCTGGCCTACGTTTCTCCCGTGGCGCTGGCTCGGGTACTCCCTTGGAGACCCGAAGCAGGTCGTACATATACGGCGGAAACTCCAGTACATTCCATGACTGGGAATTTCGAACCGAGATGCGGCTGAAGCTCTATGAGGATGCGATCCACTCCAAGACGCGATCAACAAAGAATGGTGACAAGACCGTCTCGACGACTCCGATAGTGAGGTCGACGCTGCCAGCCCGACCCGCACTGCAGCCGCTGCAATCCGCTGCACCCCGGGCGGGCCCGCTACTGAGGCACACGCAGCAGAAAGCAAATCTCCCACGAAACGCCGGCCTGCAACCCCGAAGTCTGTGGACGCGGGCTCCTTGAAGAGCGTCACTTCGGCGCTGCCCATGGACGAAAGCACCGCTGACGCCGTCAAGGCGAGGACCGAGATAGCGCACCGCATCCTTAGGTCCTAGAAGGATGTCGGGAGGAAGCCTTCAAGCTCTCACGGGATATCGGAATAGAATCCCTGACTGCACCTGGCGGACTCCATGCGTTGAAAGACAAGATGCGCAGCACTGTGTTTCCCCGCACTGCGGAAGAAGCTCGTGAGCTCTTTCGCGGTGAGCTCTTTCGTGCGGGCCAAAGGCAAGGCACGCTCGCACGTCAAGGCGGCGAGAGCATGTTATCATACACCCACCGTCGCCGAGGTGGTGGAAGCTGCTTTGTTGCCTGGATAGCAGCATCGAGCTCTCCGAGCCGATGCGGATGGTTCTTCGTCTTGAGTTACCTTCTTCGGGCCTTGTGCCTTGGGCCTAGGACTGTAGGTTCCCCCAGGGATACGCACTGATGCACGCGTCTCCCTTGGCCTCCTAAACCATGAAGCCACGTGTCCCAGGAGAAACAGGAGCAATTGCACACTATGGATCCCGCGGCGTGCCCTAGGAGTATCTCCAGATGATTCTGCAGGATGTGCGGCACATTCGTGGACAAAGTGCCCCGGAATTCGACAACGAAAGGAAAGCAGCAGCTGAGCGCATCCTGGAAGCGACCGAGCTGGCGCTTCCCACGGTTCAAGCCGTCATGGCTGAGGATGCGACCGCCGACGCAGGAACAGCTCCGGCGCACGAGTTCGCGGTTCGAGCCTACGGCGGCCCAGGCGCCAGAGGCATCGATTACCTCGTCAACGTTCCGGCGGTATGGACCAATGCAGCAGGATCGTGATGAGGCGAAGCAAACTGACTAAAACCTTCTTCGGGCAACGACCGCATTGATGATGAAGCCTGCGAATCACTACGCGTATTGGCTTTGGTAACGCTCTCCACGTCGCTCTCCTCTCGGCATCCTGTGTCGGTAGGCCTGGCACGTCCTTGTCGCCGAGCTAGGTGTCCTCGACGATAGCCTCCCCAGAGGGTTCTACCAGAGCGAAGTCCTGGCGATCTTCGATTTGATCACAGGTTCCATCTTCCTCTTCGACAGATGGGAAAGCCGCCGTCGAAACAAGTGCCGTAGCTACTTGATATTCCGCTACCTGTCTAAGCCAGATCGTCGGTGCTGTGTGGTGCCATGTTCGGATTGCTTTTACTACTCCATGCCTCACAGTCGTCAAGTAGATTCTGGGCATTGCTTGCAAGGCGAATGTCCCCTATACCGTATGTAGGATATACTGGTATACTCGCTTCATGCCATTTAGAAGTGTAAGCACCGTCCGGGAATAGGTACGGTGTACCAGATAGCTTTCAAAAGCTTACCACCTCATCATGAAGATCAGCGTGGTTAAGTCCTTCTTCAGGGTTCTTATGCCTCATCTACTCATGGCTATAACCACTGGACCAGGACCCGTACCCTGCAGCTCCTTCCTAATCCCATTCCGGCCAAATTTCGGAAGGAACGCTGCTGGTGGAAGGTTGAAGGGGTGGTGGAATTGTTGGTGGGCCACCCAGCGGCACTTCTTCCAGTACGCCAGCCGACTGGAGAGACAGAGCTGCGGGTCGAGTTGGAGAACCTGCCAAGAGAACCTGCGAGAGAGAGCAATGGCATGATCGAGTGGTTCCGTACGCAGCAAGAGATGGGCTACTCAGGCGAGTACTAGCGTTCGCGGGACTCGAGCTTGGCGAGATAAGGGAGATATCACGATCTGCAGACAGGCGGGACGATGGATTTTTCTCTCGATCTGCCGCTCGACAAAGCTGCTACATCAATGGCGGTCTGCGAGATCATCACCATTGCAGCGGCACAAGGGTACCGAGTACCGGCACCTCCTCAGGTCTTGCGAGTACCTGAATGCAGTGCACGTGTGGCGGGGTTTGAGGTCCTACCGTGAGGTCCTACCGGGCCTACCGCGGGACTTAAGCCTAGGGGAGGGAGTTCCCGCACGTAGGAAGACCACCCGCAGTGGGCCTGTCTCTGCACATCTGCCCAAGGGGTCACACTACTTGAAACGTTGGCGTCGACAACCTCACAAGTGCACGTCTTCCTTTTCTTTATGAGACCTAATGTGTAGTTTGTGCAAAAGGGCTAGGTAGAAGGGGGTTCCGGGCCTGGGTGTCTATCTCATGGCTCTCTAACACTCCACCCGTGGTAGTGTCACCCTTCTCTATGCTGAAAGGCAGCCTACGCTTCTCTAACGTGTTTGAGGTTGCGCCTAAGCCCGCAAGCGACTTGGTTTTGTTATATGCAAGGGAAGCTCAGGCCTAATGCCTTGAGACGTGCCGTGCCTCTGCTAACCTTCCCCAGGCTGCGCTATGGCATGCAGAATTTAATCCTTCATCTAGCGCGCCCCTTACATGAGTTTCTTCGGGGTCCCACATATCTATCAAGAGCAAGTCATCTATTAGCTGCCTTCGACGGGTACACTCTCTCCTCTATTCGCCCACCTAGCCTTCGTACCCAAAATCGGTTCAAGACCCTTCCCTGACCCATGCCACCGGTCCTTGTTCTCACAGCTAAGATAGATAAAACCTATATAGTTATATAGAGTCTAGAGACCACGAAATTTCATAGGTGCAACGAGTGTGAAGACGCTGATAGGTTTCTGGAGTAACCGTTCTCTTGCCAGAGAACAGGTTGAGCAGGAACTCAGAGACCTCCCTGAGGCTCTGAAGTACTGGGAGGCGTCAGCTTCAGTACGACTCAGGATCGAGGAAGCCGTGCCAAGGAATGGAAGAAATACGTGGGTTTCCAGGCCGCGATACCCATCAAGGGTCGCGAGCTACGAGAGAAGCTTGATGCAGCTCACGTGCCCATGCCATCGAAATGGGTGGACACAATAAAGAACTATCATGAACGCCTCACACCAGATTATGACCCAGAGTTCAAATCAAGATTGGTGTCATGTGGGAATTTTGAGGATTCCACAGAGGTATACGAACCGATGCCGCGACCTCAGATCTAGACACACATGCGTTAGTCGCAGCGTTCGCAGCATCCCACAGTGTTCCCGTGGAGTCTTCAGACATCGGCAATGCTTACTTCCACGCAGAACCTACAGATTGCATTGTACTTATGAGACAACCATGACGTAGATCCGGAGGCAATGCTGTTGATTAGAGTGCCTGTTAATGGACTCCACGATAGCGGAAGAGTCTGTAGGCTTTCGGGTCAGCAGGATCTTCCCCGTGTTCTACTTTTTTCCGACAGAACGAAAGAGTCGTGTGCGTTCTTACCACTCACTTGTTATGGCATCCATCAAAGGAGGTGGCAAGATCATCGACAAACTA